TAAATCTATAAGCTCATATGTGAATTAAATTCATATTAAATATGATTCAAATTTAAAATTGAAAATATTTATGTTTAAAATTATAGAAGATATTATATATGTTTGATTTTTTTTATAAATTTTTAATCATAAATTTACATTATTACATAATTATTATATTAATTAAATAATTTAATATTTATTACATAATTCAATTTAAACCTGGTCGAACCATTGATGAACCTCTCCTTCTAGTTCTATTTCCATTCAAAATTTTAGAACTTTGCATATTCCTCATATAATCCATAGAGTAGACATTGAACAAGTGACATATTTCTCATATTTTCTTCTCCAGGATATATATGATATGCAAATTCAATAAGAAATTTCATTCACGGATCCATTATTGCAACAAATGCCATGAGAGTATTACATTCATCCAAATATTTGTCAAAACTTTCTTTTTTTTGTCATTTCCATAATGAATTAATCAATTAAGTTGCACCCTCATCCATAACCTTATTTATAGTACAAATTTGTAAATATAATATATTAGCTATTGGGTACTCAGTTTTTGAAATGATAGTAGTAGCTTTATTAAATAACCCCCAAAATGTTACTCTTTTTCAATTTTGTCCAACTTCCTTTCTTGAACAATTAACATATGCACTTTTCTTTTACTGTATATAAAATGGCTTATCTTAGAATTTATGTTTGATGGTTGAGGTGAGACTTGTAATGCTTTATGGTGTAGAATGTTGGCCATTAAAAGAGAAGCATAATATTAAGTTAAGTGTTTCAGAGATGAGGATGCTCAGGTAGATGAGTGGCTTTACTCTTATAGACAAGATACGAAACAAGCATATACATGAAAAAGTTAGAGTAGTTCTAATGGAAGACAAGATTAAAGAGAGTCGTCTTAGATGGTTTGCTCACATAAAATGGCGGCCTTCTTATAACCTGATTAGGAAAGTAGATGTATTAGATTTGACTTATATTAAGAAAGGTTGAGGTAGACCTAAAACGACTTGGTTAGAAAATATTAGAAATGATCTTTCTTTTTTAGATTTAAATGAGAATTTGGCTCTTAACATGATACAACAGAGAAAAATAATTCATGCAGCCGATCACACGTAGGGGATAAAGGCTTGATGTTGTTTTTATTTTAACACTATTTAAATCTTTCTCTAACTTTTATATTCTAGAATGACATCATTTCGTGTAATAGCCCATGAGAGTTCCATTAAGTCAGGTGATATAAACTTTTTAACTAAATCAAATTCAAATTTCTAAATAATTAAAATTGATTTCTCATTAATTAATATATGAGTAATCATTTTTTTTACCTTCTTATGATTATACATGAATGTAGTTAAAATGTATTCTTGACTGGTTTGAACATATATGTTGATATCTTTTGTTTGGAAATGTAATTTTTTCTTCTTCTTTAAAGCACAAATCTTATATGCATAATGTTCCAAGTGCCTTTTGAATTAAGTGGTTGCATCAGTATTATTAGAGCTAGTTTTCTTATATTAAAAATATTTTCGCTTCCTTTGCTCATCAGGAAGAGTAACGTCTTTAAACTCATCCCTAATTTTTGATGTCTTTTCTCTTGTCTTCTGTTCTATCATATTATCAGTTTCATTTTTTTCGTCCACTTCTTCAATGACTTTTTTATTGTTTCCGTCATTCTTTCTTTCATTATTGTTGCCAATATTATCACTATCACTAAAGATCTTATTTTCAATCAAAACATCATTTATTGGCTCACTAACAATGTAAAATTGGAATTGATCCTCAAGACTTTCATTCTCAACTTTCATTGACTCGTTAATATCATTCTTTATGTCTCTTGGGGTTGTCATTTTAAAATTAAATTAAAAAAACATAATCATGCTGTCTTCAACTAAAAAAAGCTGATTTATACATTACATAAGAAAATGCTTATTTAGAAAAAAATGTTGCCTTCACACATTAGATATTATATAACCTATTTATAAGAAAAACAATTGCTATTTTAACAATTGAAAAGGCAATTATTTAGGAGTTTTATCAAATTCAGTCTGCCCTCGGGTCCTTAGTTTTCTTAGTCTCATACTTTCACCTCAGCCAGTTTCGATGAGGCCTGCTTTTCAGTTAAAAAAAGGTATCAACCTTCAGATGTTTCTGTTTCTTGGAGGTATCTCAAAATAAGCAAGCTCAATTACTGACAACTAATGAAAATTTTTGCTGGGATTCATACTTTGTTCAAGATGGTTTCTTCACTAATTTATTTGTTTATATACTCTCTAATTTTAAACTTCACCAAATTTTTTCCCGCTTAATGGTGTGGAGATGACAGATACTATTGCATCATGGCTTTTTAAATAGGAAAGGACCTTTACGGTTAAATGTAAATAAAAACTCATAAGCAGCTTATTTATTTGTATATTTTTTTTCAGCCACTGAAAAATTGAAAAACTATTTTTTATCACCACATGCAATAAGATATATGTAGGAAAGAAAGCTATACAAGATTAAAGACCTACCTGCTCCGATCAAAGCTTCTTTCATCTTCTTGCTTTCTTAGCATTGTAAAGATCACATGAAAAGTCTCTTATTCTACCTTACTGCCTAGTCGTCGCTGCCCGCTAGAGGAATGATGGTAATCGAGTCTTCTTCTTGGATTGCTTGCATTCGAAGCACTTATGTCTTCTTGCTTCATTAGCTGTCGATTTCACAAAGTAACTCTAAGCCGCTAGTGCCTGTGTACGAGTCAAGCTATGCTGAGCATGAGCTCGAACTCGTGGCTTCATAAGCTTGACTTATGAGCTCGTTAATGAGTTGAGTTTTAGTCGACTCGTGAGTCTGATTAGCTCATGTACAACCATAACAGTTGTTCTAGTAGAATTCTATACATCTCAAGTTGTTGCGTTCATGTGAATGATTTTCAAACAAAACAAAATGGTGTAACTTGTTGCATGTCATGGGCTGCACATGTGCCCTAAAAGATATGCATTTAAGAGATCCATAGACATGCGTTGAATAAATATTACGTCCCATGAATGAAAATGAGACAAATTAGTGCATTATTCGTAACACAAGTTGCACTATCATTTCAGCATGGTTTGTATGATACATCAAATAAAAAAAATTAATCTTCTCCATGCAATCCCCAAATGCACTGTGTAAAAATACAGAAAGACATACATGTACTCTGTGTAAATTCATATAGCATGCAGATAGTGATGAATTTGCAAATATGCTATATAGTGCACCAAAGATTGTGCAAGTGTGTAGGTGCATTGCATAGGTGCATAAAAATCGTGTGAATGCATCATACAAGTGTTTCAAAAAATATGCAAGTGCATTATGCAAATGTACCATAGAATGTGTAAGCACGCCTTGTGAATACCTTGCTTGCTATTAACATCTATCAATTGATTTGTGCTTATATTTGGTAATGTATTGTACATGATGGATAAATGTCTTTATAATCTTAATATCTTAATAAGAAAAAATGCACAACTGGTAGATTGAGTTTCTTCGATCCTTGCTATATGTGCATCCTAATATAGAGTGCACATTTAAACATGAGATATCTGCATAATGTGCTTGACTAAAACTCTACTAATATTGTTTTTAGCTGGAAAAAAGAAATCTTTCAATGAAACATTTATTATTCTAGATCTTGTTAAAGTTATCGCATCATCTGCTTTGGTGTATTGTTGTTATACTCTTTTCTTCAAGTATGCTTGAATTGTTTTACTAGCATTTGAACATTTAATTCCCTGTATTAAGCAATGAACATTGGGATAATGTGAAGTGAAACTATTTTTGATACGTTTTGTATTTTTAATATTATTTTTTCATTGGAGCTTGATATCCATGGAACGTACCAGATAACTACCTAGTGCTCTCATGAAGTGGGCATAGTTTTCAGGGAAAATCAATGCCTCAACATAGGAGGACCAGGTTGGTTCCTGCTGCGTGCCATGTTCCAAGTTGGTGGTGCTAAACAGCATTTTTGTTAACTGTTCTACATAAACCTTTTTTGATTATTTTTTTAAAATTATTTTTGAAACAAAATTTTGATAAATTGCAGACCAAAGGTTTCCTGAGATTGTGATCGCTGAGGAAGAAGAGTGGAGTAAGTGTATTGAAGGTTCAAATGCTGTTGTAAACTTGGCGGGAATGCCCATAAGTACGAGATGGTCATCTGAGGTTAGTTAATGTTAGCCACCCACATTTTATTTTTTTTAATTATCAACAAATTTTGTAATATTGTTTTTTGTAATTGAGACATCCTTCTGCATTGATTTTCCTTACCTTTGATAGGTCAAGAAGGAAATTAAGCAAAGCCGGATCAAAGTTACTTCGAAGGTCTCGTCCCTCTCTGCTTAATCAACTATTTGACTCAGGAGTTTTAGTTCTTGTTCAAACCAAAAAGTTTCAAAATCTAATATGTAGCCATTTTTGAAGGTAGTTGATCTGATTAATAAGTTGAATTCCAGTGAACGGCCTTCTGTTCTGATCAGTGCAACAGCAATTGGCTATTATGGTACGCGTTGTGCAATTTTTGTAGTTCTACCTTAATTTTAGATAAAATGCTTATGGCTCTCCTTACCTGTTGACTTTTTATTTACTCTAAATAGTCAATTCATTTGATGTATCAATTTTATCCGCTAAGTATTCAGGAACCATGTATTTAGAGAATACAATGCCTAGTAAATACATTCATTTTTTATTTTTTTAAGGGTTGTTTGGTTGGAAGCAAAATAAATGCGGAGGAATAATTTGTGTTTGGTTGGTTGTAAATAAGTATTATAATTTTTTGTAATTTAATCAACAATTTAAATAGATACTAAGTATTTTTTTATTAGTGCGGTACTATTATTAATTAACTTCAAAAACAAATTACTTTGTTGTGTTTGGGTTTTCATCATTGTTTGGTGAGCTCTTACAATTCCTTCAATCGATATTATCTACAGTAGCCCTTTAATCTCTTCTTAAGTTCCATCTTCAAAACAGCCTCTTCATCCTTGAACCACCTCAACACCTTAGACCACATCTTGCTCTTATAGTTCTTGTGTGGTAAAAACCTGCCGCCCAATAGTGAAAACCTTGCAACACTTCATTTCATAGCCTATGGCGACTATGGTGAGGGGATGTGTCAAGCACCATTTTTACCCCCCTACCAAACAATTATGAGGCATGGCAGATGTAAACAATCTAGACAAACATAGTTTTCGCTACACCAATCCTTATTTTTTTCTTCAAGACCAAATAAGTGGAAAATAGTCTAATACTATCATCCAAAATTTCACATAACACTTAACCTTATCTTATAAACCAACATATGCATTGAAATAGAAGCATTTATCAGTAAAATCATCTAATCAAATACACAACTTCTAATTTAATTTTCAAATAAATTCGTACATGCACAAGTTCTTGATTTACGTATTCATGCATATGTCATTTATAATTTTTTACATCGTATATCTAATAGATTGTTATACAAAGCAAAATTTGTTACTTGTTAACTAGTATTTTTTTTTTCCTGAAATCATATCAAATCTATAAATGAGCTACAAACTCAGTGAGATAAAAATTCTAAGATAAAACAAGTATACAAGAAAAGAATATGCAAATGCTATGCTCATATTTGCTATAAGAATCATCTATATTCAATTATGCATAACGAGCTTTATGAATTAGATATTAATTTACGTATGAGTTATTAGTTCATACATGAAATGTTAAATAAAGAATAATCAACATAGCTGATGTATGAACATGATATTGACATGAATTTTTTATTTTTATCTTTTGAGTCATTTTTCATACATTAGAAATGTCATGTCATGCTTATGGTCTTTGGCCCCTTTGTGTCAACTTGTCCTTTTTAAAGATTGAATAACTAACTTTCTAGTATCAAGAGTTATAAAGAGTTATTAATTCTTTTTCATTTATCTTTTCCTAATAATGGTATGTGGGAAGAATTGGCTAATGATATTAAGAATATTGCAAAGATGTGCTTGGAGTTTCAAAGGAAAAATCTACTAATAGTAAAAATAGTTGGTAGTGAATCCAAATGTACAAGAAAAGATAAAAAATAAGAAGATTTGTTATAAAAATTGGTTTAGATGTAAAAATTCCGATAATTGGGAAAGTTATAAAGAGGTTCATAAGGAATCTAAGAAAGCTATTTGCGATGAAAAGATCTTAGTTTTTAATGATTTATATAATATATTAGATTGTAAGGAGGGAGAAATATATATATATATATATATATATATAAGTTAACCAAACAAAGAGATAAGGGTAGCAAGGATTTAGTTTAAGTGAAGTGTTTTAAGGATGAAGATCAAAAATATTTTTCTTAAAAGATGATATTCAACAAAGGTGGATGAGATATTTTGCTAAACTTTTTAATGAAGAATGTAAAAATACAATTGACTTTACTGACCTTAGCACTCTAAATGAAAATAAAGATTTTTATTTTTATCGGCGTATGAGTAAAACCGAAGTTAGAGAGGCTTTAAAGAAAATGAAACGTGGAAAAGCTGTTGGCCCTGATGATATTCCAATAGAGGTGTAGAAATGCTTAAGAGATGAAGTAATTTCTTGGCTTACTAAACTTTTTAATTTTATTTTGAAGACTAAGAAGATACCCAATAAGTGGAGAATGAGTGCGTTAATTCATATTTTTAGGATAAATGCAATGTACAAGATTGTGCGAATTATAGTGTAATTAAGTTAATGTTTCATACTTTTAAACTATGGGAGTGAGTTATGGAGCGTAGCTTGTGTCTTGAAACTAATGTTTCTCAAAATCAATTTGGATTCATGCCGGATAGGTCTATTATGGAAGCCAGATATTTATTGAGAGGTTTGATGGAGGAATATAGAGAGAATAAAGAGGATCTACATATGATATTTATTGATTTAGAAAAAGCATATGATAAAGTTCTAAAAGAAGTGCCATGAAGATTTCTTGAAAAGAAAGAAGTTAATAAAGCTTATATTCAAATAATTAAAGATATGTATGCATAAGCTCTTACTTGTGTTCAAAGACAAGGTGGGTTGACCAATTACTTTCCTATTTCTGTTGGATTTCATCAAGTATCAGCCTTAAACCCATATTTTTTTGCTTTAGTCATGGATGTTCTCACTAGACATTTGTAAGAGCATGTACCTTAATGTATGCTTTTTGTTGATGATATTCTTCTTGTTGATAAGACTAGAGAGGGAGTTGAAGGTAAACTTGAATTATGGAGGTCAACCTTAAAGTCTAAAGGTTTTCGCTTGAGTAGATCTTTTCTTCAGAGTGATGGTGAAATAGATGGGGTTAATATTAGCAAAATTCAAGTTGGATGGTTGAAATGGAGGAATGCATGGGGCTTGTTGTGTGCATGGTTTAAAATTGTGCAATATGAGGCTCGCCTTTGCGCAATTCCAGTAAAAAATGCCTCGATGCTTATGCCTCGAGTTTTTGTTATGAGGCTTGCGCCTCAACTTGGTTGAGGCCCGCCTTAAGGCTCGCGTCACCTCACTGGCATGAGGCTTACGTCTCACTGGCATGAGGCTTACGCCTCACATTATATATATTAAAACTTACATAAATCTTGAAGTAAATGCCCGACATTGGACTCTATAGGAGAGGAGGAAGGGGGGAGAGCAGTTCATCATAATGATGATTCAAATGAAGAACCCCTTAGTGATGACAATGCTTATGATTTATGAGTTCTTATGTGATATGTCATTGCTATTTATTTTTAGAAATTAGAATTATATGTTAATGAAAAGAATATTGGGATTTGGGAAAGATAGAATTTTGAGTTGAACTATATTTCATGTTGTCTTATTATTGAGATATTTTGATTTCACTTCATATCTTATGCTTTTTTATGTTTTATATTATTCACTCAGTATATAAAAAATTTATCATTTTATGTTTACGCAATTTTTTTATTTTGAGGCTTACGCCTCAAAACGCCTTGAGGCTTACGCCTCGCCTCACGAATGAAAACGCCTCAATACCCGAATACGCAATTTTAAACATTGGTTGTGTGATAGAAAAGTTACCTCAAACTTAAAGGAAAATTCTATAAGATGGTGGTGAGACCTGCAATGCTTTATGGTGCCGAATGTTGTCCATTAAAAGAGAAGCATAAAACTAAGTTAAGTGTTGCAAAGATGACGATGCTCAGGTGGATGAGTGGCTTTACGCTTAGAGATAAGATTCAAAATGAGCATATACGTGAAAAGGTTGGAGTAGATCCAGCGGAAGATAAGATTAGAGAGAGTCTCCTTAGAAGGTTTGGTCACTTTAAATGGAGGCCTTCAAATGATCCGATTAGAAAAGTTGAGATATTAGATTTGTCTTATGTTAAGAAAGCTAGAGGTAGAGCTAAAAATATTTGATTAGAAAATATTAGAAATAATCTTTCTTTATTAGATTTAAATGAGAATTTGACTTTTAACAGGACATAATGACGAAAAAGGATTCATGTAGCCGACCACACATAGTGGGACAAAGGCTTGTTGTTGTTGTAATTGGTCCTTCATTACCCTTGAATAATGGTGTTGCATGTCATATAACAACTTCAGATATTTATCCACTACAACTCGTGACTGTGATCTTGATTCCTGAAGCATTTGGATGATAGCCGCCATCATATGGGTAAAGGTATTGATTTTCACAATCACTTCAGGTGCTAATTCTTCTCTTTCCATTTTTTTACTTGTTACTTCCTCTTGATCATTCACATACCTGATATATTTATAAATTAATTAATTATATTATCTAATCGAATATTTAAATTTTCAAATAAGTTCATAAATCATTCATATGGCTCTTTCATTATGATTCACATTTCTAAGATACTACCTGGGCTATGGTACCTATTTTGTCACGACCCAGCCTAGAGACTCAAATTAACGAGGCGGGAGCAGGCAGTTGGACTGTAAATTAAGTTTTCATTTGCTAAATCTATTTCCAATGCGTTAAAAGAGTCACTAAAACATAAAAAAGATAAACTGATACAAAATCATTCAAATATCTTTCTTCCGGTGCACCATGTCTACGGTACACATTTTTACATATTCTATTCATTTTAATTATAATAAGTTATACCTGAAAATGTTAGAACAACTAAAATGGTACGCATTTTCACCTCTTCATTTCATATCATAAAATAATTTCATTTAATCATATATGTATCATAAGGAAGTGTGCTCTATCAATCAATATTTGCATACAAGCATACTACATAAATCATATCATTTAGCTTCTACATATCATTCATTTCAAGTCTTTTTGTTTAACATGATCAATTATCTTTAATAAAAAAAAATATAATATTAAGAGTGAACAATTAGATAATAACAGTACTTGATGCATCATATGTTGGAGAAACAAATATCATTAGTGTAATTAAAATACATGAGTACTCACCTTGAACTTAGGAAATACACTGCTTAAATTTTACTCCTTATTCTAATAACGGTAGATTTAAAACTTATAAAAATCACTTCATTAAATTTAAATAATTA